CCAGACTATAGCTGGTGGCGCTGATCGATCAGGAAAAACCCAACTTCTGTACAAGCACTTTCCCCATACATGGATTGAAGTTAAGCTAGTCCCTACTGGCTTTAGTGTATTCAAAATCTCTCTGTCCTCTTTTATGATGTTCTGTCTATTTTTAGGGGTATTTGCCCTGATGTCTTCCACTTAGGATACCAAATCTCTTTTAACATATTTCTGAAAAAAAAAAATCAATTTTCGTTCCTCTGTCATTCACAGGGTAGAAATCAAATTTTGATTTGATAAACAGCTTGAAAATGAGGGGTTCTTTGATTTTCTGTGAAGTGCTCAAACCAAGATAAACCACCACAATCAACAGTACTTAAACTGTTAACTATTAGTTATACTATTATACTGTTATACTATTAACTTATAGTATAATAATATAATAAACAAAAGTCTTGAAAAATCTAAACTGTTGTTCATTATCGTTAACTGTTCACTAAAACATTCAAATTTGTGAGCTGTATCTACTACTGAATTCGTTGGTCTTGTGTTTACATAGTTACATAGTTAGTTTGGCTGAAAAAAGACAAAAGTCCATCCAGTTCAACCATTAAAAAAAAAAAAAAGTTATAATCCTATACCTACAGTTGATCCAGAGGAAGGCAAAAAAACCCAGCAAAGCATGATCCAAATTGCTGCTGCAGGGAAAAAAATTCCTTCCTGATCCCCTGAAGAAATCAGATATTCCCTGGATCAACTTTCCTATAAATGTTAGTATCCAATTATATTCTGTGTATCTAAGAAATAATCCAGGCCTTTTTTAAAGCAATCCACTGAGCTGGCCAGAACCCACTCTTTAGGGAGTCTATTCCACATTTTCACAGCTCTCACTGTGAAGAAACCTTTCCGTGTTTGGAGATTAAATTTCTTTCCCTCCAGACATAAAGAGTGCCTCCTTGTCCTCTGCGATGACCTCAGGGTGAATAGCTCTACACCGAGTTCACTATATGAACCACTGATGTATTTATACATGTTGATCATATCCCCCCTTAATCTCCTCTTCTCAAGAGAGAATAAATTCAGTTCCTCTAATCATTCCTCATAGCTGATCTCCTCCATGCCTCGTATCAGTTTGGTTGCCCTTCTCTGTACTTTCTCCAGTTCCCCAATGTTCTTTTTGTGAATTGGTGCCCAAAACTGAACTGCATATTCCAGATGAGGTCTTACTAATGATTTGTACAGGGGTAAAATGATATCTCTCTCTGGAGTCTATACCTCTTTTAATACAAGAGAGGATTTTGCTCACTTTAGAAGCCGCAGCTTGGCATTGCATGCCATTATTAAGCTTGTGATCTACCAGAACCCCCAGATCCTTCTCCACTATTGATTCCCCCAGTTGTACTCCCCCTAGTATGTATGATGCTTGCATATTCTTAGCCTCCAAGTGCATAACCTTACATTTATCAACATTAAACCTCATTTGCCACATAATTGCCCAATTAAACAGTGCATTGAGGTCAGCTTGTAAATTGAAGACATCCGGTAAGGACATTATTCCACTGCACAGCTTGGTGTCATCTGCAAAGACTGAAATGGGATTTTTAATCCCAAACCCTATATCATTTGTATTATGTTCTAATAATGTTTCCTGTAAGTTAACGTTCTAGAAAAATTATTAACATCCACTAATGATTAAAGTGTTGCTAAACCCAGGACCCTGCATTCGCTATATCTGGTCTCCCACAGTACACAGAACATGGAAATGCAATTATTGTAGTAAATATAAACTGCTAAATGCCTTTTCTCATCAGCAGTATATAGCAGTCTTGTGACTTCTATCAGTGTCCAGCAAGAGCACTGGTTAAAGCTTGTAGGAGTTTTCAATCTCCCCTGGTTGTCCTATGAGGCTGCAGGACCCCTGACCTTCTGTCTGGACAGCGCTGATTGGCCCCGTGCTGATCACATGCACCCTCCAAAAAAAAACCTCTCTAGCAATACACACCAAATGGAGCATGTGCAGTTTGCCCCAAGGCTCTGTTCTATCAGGAGATGAAATGGGGACAGTAGAAGAAGGGGAGATCAGAGAAGAAGACAGGATTAAATGTTCTTTTTACACAATGTGGAGGATTAACCCCTTTAGGTTCCACAATGAGTATAACAAACATGCTTTACTGCATATAGAGACTGATTTTACTGTTGTGAGTTTAGTAACACTTTAGCTCATAATCAGAAAAAAGTAATACATGTGTGGTGTGTGAAAAATATGTAATCGTCTTCGGCCTCTTGCACACTTCTGCCTAAAATGCAATGTTTTCAAGCATATAGGATTTTTCATTTACTGATGTAAATACAGATCACTGTTTTCAATGTGCCTGTACACACAAGCTCATAAATTTACGCTGCATATAGATCAGTAAAAAATGTATCTAAAAATCTGAGTTGCTGGTCAGTATTTTTACATGTATATGCAAATATGCGCATATGCTACACTTTCTGCATTAAAATAAAGCTAGAAGAATTTTTCCGCGTGTGCATGTACAGTACATGCAAATATGCACAAATACACATAAATCCGCGATAAGGGATATACAGCCCATCCTGGCATTTTTTCTGCCTAGAATGTCTTATGTTCATACATCAATACAGTGTTCAAGAGGCCTTTTTCTTCTTTCTCCCATCTTTCAATCTTTTCCTTTTTTATATTCTTTGTGTGTATTTCTGGGATTTGGACTTTTCTGAAACTTCCTAAACCCCTTCCTCTTTTAGAAGGTATCCACCATTTTTCTTTTTCTATCTCTCATGCTCATCCCTTTCCACAGTCTATAGGAATCTGCTTGTTTTAAGCAGGGACAGAGCCATAGTGTGACAATGTTGTATACAAAAAAAAAATTAAATAAGTGATATATATCAATGTATTTTGAATGTGCCACTATATCTGCAAAATACGCTCGTTCCTAACCCCAGAAACTACTAAACAACTCATTCACTCCCTTGTTATCTCACGACTCGATTACTGTAACTCCCTCCTCACCGGCTTACCTCATCACAAGCTATCCCCGCTTCAGTCTATCCTGAACTCTGCGGCCAGACTCATCCACCTTACCAACCGCTCTGTATCCGCCACCCCCCTCTGTCATTCTCTCCACTGGCTTCCGATTGCCCAACGCATAAAATTCAGATTACTAACACTGACGTACAAAGCTATTCATAATACTGCCCCAAACTACCTCACCGACCGGATATCCAAATACCACCCAACACGTACTCTTCGCTCCTCACAAGACCTCCTACTCTCTAGCTCCCTGGTCTCCTCCTCCCATGCCCAACTCCAGGACTTCTCCAGGGCTCCCCCCATCCTCTGGAACTCACTACCCCAATCTATCAGACTGTCACCTACCCTCCTCACCTTTAGGTGCACCCTGAAAACCCATCTCTTCAGGGAAGCCTACCCTGCCCTCACCTAACTGCTGATCTCCTCCACTCCTCCTACTACTCCATCCCCCACAGCCATTTCCTCCTGTACCACTATCCCCTCCCTCCTAGATTGTAAGCTCCAAAGAGCAGGGCCCTTAAACCCCTCGTGTATTGTATTTTTACTGTATTGTCTCATGTACTGTCTCCCACTCTAATGTACAGCGCTGAGCAAACGTTTTGGCGCTATATAAATACTGTATTATAATAATAATAATAATAATATCTGTCCTGTTGGACAGCAGGCACTATTAGCAATATCAATTAATATGGTTATTTACATGGGGTAGAATCCTCCCTCCCTCTTTCAATAAAGGCAACTACTCTAGCATCTGAAATAATTAGTCAAAGTGGTGCCCATATGTGGATTGAAACAATGCTAGCCAGCTGTATAAATCTGAACCTTTTAATGTCCCAAAGAATTCCACCTCCACTTAGTACTCCCAGGGCCGGTGCTTCTACTGGGCAAACTAGGCAGCCCCCCAGGGCGCATTGCCACCTAGGGGCGACTGGGCACAGCACAGGCAGGCACTCTCTCTTTGTGGGACACCGCCACGTCATGAATGATCCTTCAGCTGAGAGAAGGGGCAGCAGAGGGGAAGAAGAAAGAAGAGAGGCAGATGCCAGGTGCCTGAGGCCAGTTTAGCAGTGTTCCTCTCAGACTCAGTCCCTTACTGCAAGCCGGCTGGTGGCTGCTGATCACTGTGGCGTTCCATCCCTTCTCTTCCCATTCATCAGCGAAGGCAGATCTGTGCCTGCGGAGAAAGGTAATGTCTGACTCTGATGTCTCGTGTCTGTATGAGTGTGACCCGGCCAGCCATCCATCACATGCAATGTGTCAGTGAGTGATGACATCATCACGATCCCACAGCTTTCTCTTCTGGTGCCTGCTGATCTGTGTCAGTGTTGTTGGTGGTGTGTTGTGTCGGATCTGTCACTGTGTGAGATCGCTTATTTCAGGTGTTCTCTCTGTGTGTGTGGGCTGGGCTGCCTGCTATCACAGCGCTTTATCTCCTCCCCATTGCCTGGGGAATTCCAACCTGGGATCTATCAGAGTGTGGATTCAATACTCCTCCACTCACTGCAACTGTCACCTTGCCACTGCCAGCCACAGATACATCCCGTTCAAGACAAGGATTTTGTCTTTAACCGCCTCCCACCCGCCATAAAAGGAAATGATGGGCGCAAGGTGGTTGTCTCATTCAGGGAGGACATCATAGGACGTCCTCCCATTCTAACCGTGCGTGTACGGCTCCGAGAGCGCGCAGCGCGACAATCGGTGGTGCGCTGTGTCCCTCAGACACAGTGGATCACCGATCGATGGAAAGAGCCAAAGATTTTGGCTCGGTCATGTGATCAGCTGTGTCCAATCACAGCTGATTGCATGTAAATAGGGAAATGCTAGTTATCGGCATTTCTCTCCTCCTTGCACGAGAGGAGAGGAGAGTCGGTAATCAGCATTCCTCAGAGGGGACATGATCAGTGTGCCCTGATGATCAGTGTAGCCGCAGCAGTTCCACCTGTCAGTGTCCATCAATGCCAGCTGTCAGTGCTCATTATTGCCACCTGTCAGTGCCCATCAGTGCTGCCTATCAGTACCCGTCAGTGCCGACTATCTGTGCCAGTCAGTGCCACCTAACAGTGCCAACCAGTGCTACCTATCAGTGCCATATATGAGTGCTGCCTTTCAGTGCCCATCAGTGATGCCTGCCAATACCCATCAGTGCCACCTACCAGTGCCTCCTCATCAGTGCCCATCAGTGCAGCCTATCAGTGTCCATCAGTGCAGCCTCATTAGCGCACATCAGTGAAGGAGAAAAATCACTTATTTACAACATTTTATAACAAAAACTTTTTTTTTTTTTAATTTCAGTTGTTTTTGGTTTGTTTAGCAAAAAATAAAAAACCCAGAGGTGATTAAATACCACCCAAAGAAAGCTCTATCTGTCTCAAAAAAAAAAAAAAAATTTCTTATGGGTACAGTGTTGCATGACCGCGCAATTGTCATTCAAAGTGTGACAGTGCTGAAAGCTGAAAATTGGCCTGGGCAGGAAGGGGGTATAAGTGGCCTGTAGGCAAGTTGTTAATATTGGTGGTGCTGGTGGCATCTTATTTACCAGTTTTCATGTTTTGTTGATGTAATATTTTTTACTGTTTTTAAAACTTTTTCAATTTTTATCTATTTTTTTGGGGGAGGGGGGGCAAGTAGCTGGTCTTGCCTAGAGCACAAAATAGTCTAGCACTGGCCCTGAGTACTTCTATGTGACAAGAACAATAAAACCAGAGTGACAGTCCACAGATGACATTGTAAATTAAAGTGGAACTTCACTCTCTCCATCAATTGACTATTTTTACTTCTTATGCTGCTAGCATTAGTAAACAGATAGGAAGGTATGTTATTTTTACATATTTTAAACTTTTTTTTATCTATTTCTTCCTTTACTTCCTGGTTCCAATGCCTAGGCAAATGATGGCATACATCTCAGGAGTCTTTGGCAGGGGAGGAGGAATTTTCTCTCTAAGCACACCCTCTGTCTGCATGCCTGGGCAAAGGGAAGATGGATTCCAGGAACTAAATGCTACATGAATCATCTGCCCTTACTCAAAATGGTCAAGGCAAGAAATTCTAGGGCTTGCTTTTCAAAGTGATTTCTCAGCAAAATAAAGCAGAGACAAGGATGGATCAGGGAGTTTGCTTTGAATACAAATTATGTAAATAGTGTGTTTGTTTTGTGGTGTCCAGATAGAGTGTAGATCCACTTTAACTAGCGTAGCTTAACCACTTGCCTACCGGACCAATTCTGACATTTCTGTCATACATGTAAAAATCTGCATTTTTTGCTTGAAAATTATTCAGAACCCTCAAACATTATTTATATTTTTAAGCAGATACCCTTGAGAATAAAATAGTGGTTATTTAGTGAAAACAAACACAATATACCATCCAATGTTTTGTAAAATATAAAATATTACATTATACCAAGTAAATAGATACCAAACATATCTCGCTTTAGAATTTTGCATGCCCATGGAATGGTAAGAAACTATGATACATTAAATTGTCTATAGGCAACACTTTAAAAGCCTTTACAGGTTACCAGTTTAGAGTTACATAGGAGGTCTGGCCCTGGAATTATTGCTCTCGCTGTGATGTTTTTGGTGATACATCACATGTGTAGTGCAATCGCTGTTTACATATGAAGCACCAGGTACCACATCCCTTGCTATGAAAATTTTAAGAAAACACTTAAAGTTACCATGTACAGACACAGGAGAGGTAAAAAGACCCGCAGGACAGGTCACACAGAAGAGAAGTCCACCCTGCCATTTCTTCCACCCTCCTCCCTGCCATGAGTTCAGCGGTGACGGCGACAAGTACATTCAGAAGAGGATTGCACTCTGCCATTCCTCCTGCCCTGCACACTATCGAGTTAAGGGGAGGGCTTTGATGTCAGAGGGGGGAGCTGTGATTTGGGGGGCTGTGAAGTGAGGTGGGCTGTAAAATAAGGGGCCGTGAGGGGGGAGCTGTGATGTGGGGGCAGTGAGAGGAGGGAGCTGTGAAATGGGGTGTAATTGTGGGGGGGCTGTAATACTGGGGGCTGTGATGATGAGCATCGAATTTTTCAGAAGAATAAATACTAACAACTTAGGAGATAACAAGTGCCAAAAATGACAACTATGATCCTAAAAATCCACCAAAACAAACAGGCATATTAAATGGAGATGAATCATTAAACCTATAGTACATCAAATTGGTCTTCTATTTCAATGTTACACTTCCCAAGGGGCTCCAGCAAGAGGCCCACAAAACTGGCAGCATTTATACCCCTTCTACCCACGCCGGCATCTGATGGTAGGATGCTGATGTCATTCACTGCCACTGCGCATGGTCACTCCAATCATCCCCCGCTCCCAACTGCCAGATGAGTGAGCACCAGGCAGCCATATACTAGCCACCAGCCGCCAAGCAATGACAGAAAACATCCACAATGTATCAGAGTCCCCCCAGTCGGCGGAGCAAAACAGAGCACACCACTATGCATATAAAGCCCCCCCCCTCCCCGGTTAGAAGGAGCAAACACCACACCAGTCAACTTCCCCATCCCTCCCACCACCCTCCCCACAATGCACTAATGGAGCAATAGTGTACGGAAAGGACAGGGGAAAGGAAGACAGTTAGACTGGCACAAGCAGTGGTGGACCATAGGTGCATAGCAGGTGCACAGAGGGTCAGGATGAACCCAAATACCTCATAGCACATCTCACTGTGCCCTGGGTGTCTGTATGGGCATAACTTCACTAGCCTTAAAAATGACAACCCAGGGACAAAAGAAAAAAATCCTCACACACTTAATAGACATATTGTTGTATAACCACAAAGTGATGGAAGACAACTCTATTACAGATAAAACATTTGAAATTTTACAAATCAATATAAATACAAAAACAGCATTTGAAAAATAACAAAAATAAATACGACCAATTGTCAAAAATATAAAAAAATATGTAAACCCTAACATTTCATATTCCTGATATGTGCCTGCTGTACCATGTACTTGTATGAAAAAGTATCCTGTTCTCTTTGTATTGCTTCCTTTATGTGACATCCCTGGTTTTCCTGCCAGTCACTCTGCTTCAAAGACTGATCACAGTAGACATGAGAGCACCGCATGGTCAGTTCTCTAGCTGTGCTGGAGACTCAGTATGCTCTCCTCCAATGATCAAACTTGTACTGACACACGCCCTCCTGAACAGCCATTCACTGGAAAGACCACTGTACTGTAGTTTCTCCACCCTCACCTCTCTATGCAGCTCAGAACAGAGAGTATGTGATCACTTATAAGAAAAGGGGAAAAACTATTTATAATGTTTTTAATATCTATACACAAATGTTTTATCTTTGATTTCTATTTTAAACTGCATGGGTTGTTTTACATGGTGAGGGTTTACATGTACACTTTATTAGTTACACTTTGCTAGTAAAGGGTTGGACCTCCTTTTGCCTTCAGAACTGCCTTAATTCTTTGTGGCATAGATTCAACAAGGTATTGGAAACATTACTCAGAAATATTGGTCCATATTGGCATGATAACATCACGCTGCAGATTTTTTGGCTGCACATCCATGATGCAAATCTCCCTTTCCACCACATCCCAAAGGTGTTCTATTGGTTTGAGATCTGGTGACGGTGGAAGCCATTGGAGTACAGTGAGCTCATTGTCATGTTCAAGAAATCAGTTTGAGATGATTTGAGCTTTGTGACATGGTGCATTATCCTGCTGGAAGTAGCCATCAGAAGATGGGTACACTGTAGTCATAAAGGGATGGACATGGTCAGCAAAAATACTCGCATAAGCTGTGGCATTTAAACGATGCTCAGTTGGTACTAAGGGGCCTAAAGTGTGCTAAGAAAATATCCCCCACACCATTACACCACCACCACCACCAGCCTGAACCGTTGATACAAGGAAGGATGGATCCATGCTTTAATGTTGTTTGCACCAAATTCTGACTCTACCATCTGAATGTTGCAGCTGAAATCGAGCCTCATCAGACCAGGCAACGTTTTTCTAATCTTTTATTGTTCAATTTTGGTGAGCCTGTGTGAATTGTAGCCTAAGTTACAGTTCTTAGCTGACAGAAGTGGCACCCGGTGTGGTCTTCTACTGCTGTAGCCTATCTGCTTCAAGGTTCAATGTTGTGTGTCCAGAGATGGCATTCTGCTTATCTTGGTTGTGGCGATTGGTTATTTGAGTTACTGTTGCCTTTCTGTCATCTCAAACCAGTTTGCCCATTCTCCTCTGACCTCTGCTATCAACAAGGCATTTTCATCCACACAACTGCCACTCACTGGATATTTTCTCTTTTTTAGACCATTCCCTGTAAACTCTAGAGATGGTTGTGTGTGAAATTCCCAGTAGATCAGCAGTTTTTGAAATACTCAGACCAGCTCGTCTGGCACCAACAACCATTCCACGTTCAAAGTCATTTAAATACCATTTCTTCCCCATTCTGATGCTCGGTTTGAACTTCAGCTAGTCCTCTTCACCTAGTGTAGATGCCTAAATGCATTGATTTGCTGCCATGTGATTGGCTGATTAGCAATTTGTGTTACCAAGCAACTGAACAGGTGTACCTAATAAAAAGGCCGTAGAGTGTATAGTGAATGTATGGACTTATGATGGATATTATTGAAGAAATACTTTTTTGAACACTTTTTTATTATTTTGCATATTTTATTTTGCACATTTTATTATGATTTTTTTTTCTTTACATTTTACGTCACAGATGTTGCTACTTATTTGGACCCATTAAAGAGCACTTATATTGAATCTGAGTATAATATGTTGCACTACCAGAGAGTATATTTTTTATTTTATTCTTGTTTGTATTGAATTTTCTATTTTTTGGTGGCAGCAAGTTTATTTAACACAGTGGTGTATACAGTATATTCTCCAAAGTGTGGGGTACTATGAAAGTTTTTTCTTCTGATTGCATGGTCACTTTAGAAATTTACAGAAAATGTTCCTTTAGTGCCAATTAATGCTACATAGGCAAAGCATTGCATGACAAAAGCACAGTACCAAGAAAGAAAAAAGGTGAGTTGCCTGTGAGTTCAAGGCTGCCCCGTCCCTGCAAAGTTAAGCAAGAAGTATAGATCTCCCCCTGGGACTTTGTTTATGCCAAAAGGATAACAGCCATAAAAGTATAGATAAAAGATCACATTTTATTATACAAAATATAAAAAAAAATGTTTTGGATAAAAACAAGCAAATTGAACGCTTTTCACAATCTACATGTAGTGCATCAATGCATGTCAAGAGAAATTCTTCTAAACCACAGAA